CAATCGGGTTATCCTCACCCAAACCATCCGCAGCTGCAGAACTCAGCCTTTCTGCGCCGTGCTATCACCTTGTCCACAATACACGAGCTCAGAGCGCAGAACAGACCCAGCGGACAGCTGCCTGCCCGCAACACAGCGATCGTGCCCATCGGCAGAGGAGATGGAGGGACACGGGTCCGACCGCCCTGTGGCACAGGAGATGGATGGAAGCTCCGGGGTATCCGCAGAGCTCCGCACGCCTGCGAGCTCAGCCCGATGACTCCGCTGCCCGCTCACTCACTCTCGCCGCGCCCCCAAGAAGTAGAAGACGTTAAAATCAAAGCAGACAGGCGCTGGGAGCTCCGGCACACCCCCGCCCTAAGCGTGCGCCCGCTCGCAGGCTGGGAAGGGGTCTGCCCGGCGCCGAGTCCCCGCCGACCGGACGGCCCCGAGGGGCAGTGCGCTCCAACATGGCGGGGGGCGCCACGGTAACGGGAGGCTGCGAGACGGAGGGACCCCCGGAGCGGGGCAGAGGGGCCGAAGCTGAGGAGAAGCGGGGCCGAGAGGGCGGCCGGGCAGGGGCTCCGACACGCGGGGTACCGCCAAGCCACCAGGCCCCGCGGGCTGCCCGCCGAGGGGAAGGGGAGAGGCGGGAGTGCGTCCGCTGCCGTTACCTGGGCACGCAGCTGGGGCTGGAACCGTCGATTTCCCAGGTGGCGAAGAGGTTCATAGGCACGGGCCGCCCCAAGGCCCCGGCACCGCCCGGGAAGCTGAGGCGGCCGCGCTCCGCCGCCGCCGCCATGGCTGCCGGCCTGGCGTGCGCCCACCGGGCCGCCGCCGCTGGCTGTGCCGCCACCGCCCCGCCCCGGCGGGGGGTGTGGTCACGTGAAAGTGGGCAGGCCTAGGAAGGGAGTGGTAAGGAGTCTGGGCGTGGCTAAATAGGACGGGCGTGTTCGTGGGGGCGGGCTTTGTGCAGGCACCGCCCACAGCTCGCTCAGATGAGGGCCGCGCTGCCGCCGGGTGGTTTCCTGTGGCGCGGCCGGAAGTTGCCGGGCGGCTGTTGGTGGCGGACCGGATGTTGTAGTGGCAGTTTCCGGCCAGCTCAGTGGTGGCTGAGGGGGGAGGAGGAGGTGGCGGTAGGGCAGTGAGCAGAGGCGAGGATGGTGCTGCTTACTATGATCGCCCGCGTGGCGGACGGGCTGCCGCTCGCCGCCTCCATGCAGGAAGATGAGCAGGTATGTCGGGGTCTCAGCCTAGCCAGGCTCGGCCTGGGCCAGCTAGGCCCGGCCCGGTCCAATCGATCTCGCTCTCCTTAGGCTCCGGCCGAGCCCCGCCGACCCCCACGACCAGCACTTCATCGAGCCGTTGGGACGCGGGTGGGGGGTGTTTTCCGGGTAACGGCAGCTGCCAACGGCCTGTCCTCTCCCCGCAGTCCGGCCGCGACCTGCAGCAGTACCAGAGCCAGGCAAAGCAGCTGTTCCGTAAGCTGAACGAGCAGTCCCCTACGAGGTGCACTCTGGAGGCAGGAGCCATGGCTTTCCAGTAAGTGGCCCCGGGTACGGTGGCACGGTTAGCATTTGCTGTCTCTGCGGTCAAAGGAAGTTGCTTCTGGGTCCTCTTGGGAAACTGAGTCCTCCTAGGGAGGGTGAATTGTGCAGCTGCCAACTGCTGGTGGGGTAATAGATGTGCTAAGGGAGAACGTGTGAGGTATTACATCATGGTACTGCCTTCTGGCATTTCAGCTGGCTGCTTAGCTGTGCCTTTACTCAAGACAGTGTAGATTGTACACTTTAATATCCCTTTTTGTCTCCTCTGGGTTCTTTATACCCTTTATCATTTCCAAAAACAGATGTCGTTGGTAAAAGCAGGTTAGCAGTTCCATTGTGAACTTCTTCTGAGCGAGGTTCTCCTTTCCCTATGTCCTGTGAGAGTGTACCTTTTATTCATCCATATGCTCAAGCATATAGTCTGTGATATATTTAGTTTTTCTAATAGCTAACAAGCATTTTTTCACATCTTTGATCTTATCAATAAATATGTTGCTGCATTTAATTAATCTATTGAAGCATTTGCAAACTTAGCTTATGATCTCTCTTGACTTTTCTGCCTGCTATTAAGTGCATTTGGATAATGAAAGCCTACAGAGAATGTGGGTCTGGCACCATTACCACCTAACCAGCAGCAGGGGGGCCTAGAAAGAAAGTAACAGGTGGAAGAATTTATAGCTTACAAAAGGCAGGAGAAGAGGAAATGCTTTTTTGTTATGTAACAACCTAGCAGAATAATTGCTAAAATAAAGTTAACTTAAGTTTTTAATGAAAGTTAAGTTCTTGTCAAGAATCAGAATTATGTTACCAGCAGAAATATTTATGTTAGAGAAGCAAATCTCTGTGAGACTGAGTGCCGTTTGGTATTGACAGAACAGTGATGTGCAAAGCTTTGCTGTGCTGCCAGCAGCAAGGTTTTTTTGCCCCCTGATTTCTGGTTGCCTTTGTTATGGAGTTACAGTGTCAGTGATTCAGGCAGTCTGGCTCTTATCTCTTCTAGAGCTTAGGCAGTGTTCCTGAGCTAACAGGAGAGTACTGTTCTAAATCTTCTTTATAGAAGTTAAAATTTTCTAGAGTTCAAAGACTTTGTTTCTAGATGTTCCAGTGGCACTGAATAGGTGTATCTGTGACTGTGAAGCCTTGGGGAAGAGTCTTTAGAAATCCTGGTAAACTCCCTTGTCACATTGCTTCCATGATGCAAGCACAGCAATGTCTGGGAAGACTGCTTCAATTGCAGTGCCCAGGGAACCGAAGCCCAGGAGGATTTAGGCAAGCTCATGTTTTGATGGATGTCTCAAAGAAACACCCAGATTATGTGGCTGGCTAATAAGCAGGGATGGAAGTATCTATCTTTCTGTATTCAGTCTCTGGGCAAGTTCCACAGGCTGCTGACAGCTGCTACTGCAAAGCACTCTTGTGTTGCTGCTTTTATCATAGGATATCAAAGCAGGACCTTCATGAAATGAAGAATGCTTCCAGATCCAAAATTCTCCTCTAATAACAGTATAGGTAGGGAGGAAATAGGGGAATCAGAGATGGTCATCGGTACTATTTTAAACAATGCTGTTAGTTAACACAGTCCATCTTGTTTTCTGCCAAATCAGTGCTCTGACTGCTGAGGGCAGCATAAGCCAGGACTGAGCTTTTTGTGGTGTGAGGGAGATCCTGGCTGAACTTGCTAAAAAGACTGTGAACATTTTTAGCTTGATCAGTTCAAAGAAGAGTCTTGCCTTGATGAAATCCGAAGCTCAGACTAACACTGCTGGAGTGATTGTCATCAAATGTAATCTTCAGAGCAGCTCCAAAAGCTGTGTCACCATTCCAGGTACAGCACCTGCAGTAATGGCTGTGCAAGCACAGAAGCACCTCCATACTTTGCTCTGCTGTCAGTTGTGAGTTGACCTTTGGCTCGTCAGTGGTTTAAGTGGCTCTTACCTGTCATGCTGAAAACAACCCTTGGCCTTTACTGCTGATACCAATTAGAAGGATAAAGCTTTTCTCTCTCAAACTTATCCCAAATAAATACAGAAGCCTGCTAGCTGCCCTCAGCATGCAGCAATCTAGAGTTAGAAGTGGTAAACTGCAATGTGTGCACTGCTGGGCATGCAGTGTGATCAGGTGCTGTGCAAGAGCTCAGAGGCGTGCACCAGTGTGAAAGAGGCATCCAGCTGTGCCTAGAACCGAGGCTGCAGAATGGTGTGAATCCAGGACAGAAGGAGGTGTGGTTGTTTGCTGTAGTACTGACAGATTATACTGACTTCATATTTGATATCATATTGGGAAAAGCAGGTGGGAAATAAAGCTGAAGGGTTCCAGACAGGACCAGCTGGCCAGAAGAGACCATGGCTTTACTGGCTGGGTATGTTCCTTCATTTGCTCTCATCTTTGAGAGCTCTCAGGCAATACTCTTCTTGTCTGACAAGAACCTTGCTGCTTTTCAAGTACCTTCAAAAAAGCTTCTGGTCATGGCAGTGGCTAAATCAAGCTCTGAGTGATAACTTAGAACAATCCTGAGCTGCCAAGAAGGTCTCTGAGGGTGAGGAAGGAACAGAGGCAAGGCATACGATAGGAGTAGTCCTACAGACTAGTGCAGTCCGAGCTGAGGGACACACAAAGGTATTTAAAAAAAAAAAAAGAAGTGGACTGTAGTGGCTGAAATTTCTTGCTTCTGCTTGGAGTGGAACAGCTGTTCCTTGCAGTCTGGCAGGTTTTGCACACAGATCACTGAGGCAGCAGAAAAGGACACTCAGAAGTGAGTTGAGATGGTTAAATCAGAGGGTCAAGACCTTTTTGAGTATCTGGAAAAAACACAGGTTGTGGGAGGAAGTTGTATTGTATGTATTGTACTATATATAATAGCTGGATGCAGCTAGTGAAATTTTAAAGCTTATTAACTACAGTGCCCCTACGACTAGATCAGTTCTCTAATACACTGTTAATCTCTAGGTTAATTAGACTGCTACATAATGGCATTATTAGACACAAAGTCAAGGGAAGGTAACATAAATGTAAAACTGGAATTCCATCCTGAGTAATAGAAATATTTGAAAGTATATCCAGAGCTATCTGCCATCTCCACTAGCTTGGTTTTGGTAGAATTACTGTTGCCTTTATTTTTGTAGTGGCTGAATGAGGAGGAGAACATAGGGAACATGCAACAGCAGATAGCTGTAGTGAAACAAGTAAAATAAATAATCTTAAGTCTCATTCTTTCTTATCCTTTATTGCAGTAGGCTTTTTAGCTGAGTTGTAATGGAAGTTTCTTCCCTATTTCTGCTCACAGAGACACTGCTATCCGCAATGAAACAAGCTCAGCACTAAACCTTTGTGAACAATGAGAATTAGCTGCAATAGGGAGTGAGGTGGTAAGAAGAGAACATCTCTGTGTGTTCAGCTGCACAAAACAGGGTTGAAGAGCAACAGTAGCTCTTGTTTCAGCACCAGTTTGGGGGCTCCTAACATCACCAGAGCCCATCTAATACCAGTATTTTTATTCGGCTGTATGCTGAGGTCAGCTTGTAGAAAGCATTGCCCCAGCAATAGGGGAGTGTTGGGGAGGAAGGCAGCACTCAGCCTTCCAAAATAGGACATGGGAGCCAGCAGTCACTGGGTGCTTCATCAGAGCTTTAGCACATTGAGACCAAATTCCTGTGGGTGCCTTCTATCTGTGGGCCTCAGGTTTGTGGCTGTGCTGTGTGATCCTTACACTGTGCTTTCCATCTTCCCTTCTTTCTGCTGGCAAACTTTCTAGTGCTTCTCTTCTTCAGGCTGCAGAAGGCATGCGTGATAGAAGGGAAGAAGGCAAGCTGTCCTCTCATTTCACTCCCAAAATTATAGCATTTGTTGCTGGCATTTTTGTTAAGCTGGTGATACTCACAGCCCAAATGTGGTCCCAGTGAAGTGAAAGTTCAGAGGTCATTCAAGCTGGTACAGGGTCTAAGACTGCAAGAAAATTTATTTTAGGTGAATAAAAAATAGCCACTACTTTGCAGAAAGTTTATAGCCAGGCCTGACATAGCAAACTGGAAGTACGTTTGTCCTGTTCTCTTTATTTGGGTAGCATTTTAGCCAGGCTAAAATGAATCGTTGCTCCCAAGTTCAACTTCAGAAGAATTACAGTCAGTGACAGTGGGGTTCTACAAAGCCAGCTAGGTTCTCAGCTTCAGAAAGCTGTTTACTTGGGGGTAGAAAGGTATGATGGATAGTGTCTAATAGGATGGGTACAAAAGTGCTTGATTGATTCTCTATTTTATGTTCTTCTAGCTACATCATTGAGAAAGGGGTGTGTTACCTGGTCCTGTGCGAAGCTGCGTTCCCAAAGAAACTGGCCTTTGCATATCTGGAAGACCTGCAATCAGAATTTGATGAGCAGCATGGCAAGAAGGTGCCAACGGTCTCCAGGCCCTATTCCTTCATTGAATTTGGTGAGGTCCCTCTCTGCAAGGCTAGTTAGCAAGCTTATTGCAGGGGCTGCGGCCACAAAATGCTCCCCAGCTCGGCCTATGGAACTGACAGTTCAGTTTCTTTTTGGTGCTGTTAAAATGGGTGCTTTTAGCATGGAGTATTTATGACTAGAGACGTGGTAAGAAAATCATAAATATCCTTTAGCTCAGATTTCTTGCTTTCAGTCTTTGGGCTTGTTTCCAGGGAATGTTTGCTTGCAGTCTGCTGGCTGTCTTAGCACTTCTCCCACTCCTTTGGCAGCCAGGCTGCTCTGTGTTCAGTGAGTGTTTTCTCCACTGCATCTGAAGGAGGTGGTGTGGAACTAATAAAGTGTAGTAAGACATTTTTGATACAGCAGCCTGAATGAGAGTGAGTGGGATGTAAATTGTGAGAACATTAGTGTCCAGCAGTGTGCTGGGGAGGGAAGAACAACTCTGACTTGAGGTCTTTTTGTTCTCTTTCTGGTGGTCTGCTCTCCACTGGTGTGCCCGTTATGTAGGCACAGAACTGGGGCAGTGTGGGTAGAGCCTGGAAGAATATTATTCTCCTGGAGCAGTGCATATCCAGCAGCAAAGTCTCTCAGCCTTCGTGCCTTGCTTTTAGGTTAAGGCCCTTCTGTGCTGGCCTGGAGCGGCAGAGTGAGAAGCCTAAAGCTTCTAACCCATGTCTGCAGCCTCTCCCTGCAGCCACATTAATGCTTGGAACTGGTTCTTAACATTTTCTTATTTTCAAATCGAATAATTAGCTTTTGAGGTGGGAGGGCAGAAGCAAGGGTCACTTTGTGTTGTACTTTTTTTTGTGTAATAGTTTTCATTTGCAGTGAAAGATATATTAACTTGAAGCAGAAAGTTTCGGATCTTATGCCCTCTTGTGTCTCTATTTGAGTATATGTTTCAGTGAACACAACTAACCAGAAACATCAGAGAACTGCTGATGTCTATCAGACTGTTGACTGGAAAGTCTTCCAGCAGTGGTGGGTGCTTCAGCTGAAGAAAGCATAGGCTGAAGCAGAGACAGATCAGTTCCTTTTGCTTGGCAAAGCAAGCACCACAGGGAGGTAAGTATCCCTCTTGACAGTTCTCTCTTGTTCCAGACACCTACATCCAGAAAACCAAGAAGCTCTACATCGACAGCCGGGCGAGGAGAAACCTGGGTTCCATCAACACAGAGCTGCAGGATGTGCAGAGGATTATGGTGGCCAACATTGAGGAGGTCTTGCAGCGAGGAGAGGCACTTTCAGGTACGCATGGTGGCTGCTGTTTGGCGTATGCTTACCCTCAGTCAGTAACGTGGGTAGAGCACATCAGATGGAAAGTCTTCCTAATCCCGAGGTCTCCTTAGAAAAGCAATGGACTCAGCAGGTGCATCATTTCTGTCAGTTGCATCCTGAAGCACCTGATGGATACTGGTGCTACTTCTGAGTGTCTCACCATGCTGGGTGGCCCTAGTAGAACAAGCACTAGATCACCAGGCAGACACAAGGCGTGCTGTCATGCAATACTGCTGCTCTTCCAGCTGCTCCAGAGAAACTCCTTCAGTTAATGTAACATCAGGGTGACACCTGGTTGGGTTGATGACTTCTTGATTAACTTCTCTGCCCTTTCCCTCCAACAGCTCTGGATTCCAAGGCCAACAACTTGTCCAGTTTGTCCAAGAAGTACCGTCAGGATGCAAAGTACCTGAACATGCGTTCCACTTACGCCAAACTTGCGGCCGTAGCTGTGTTTTTCATCATGTTGATCGTCTATGTGAGATTCTGGTGGCTGTGACCTGGTTACGCTGAAGAGGGAAAGCTGGTAGCCTGGCAGATGTGTGTGTGTGTGCAGGACACTGTTCACTGGGGATGTGCATTAGAATCCACGCAGGACCATCACCTTTATAGAAGTGTCCTGAAAATGTTAGGCGACACCTGAGTGCTACACCTCTTAGTGAATCCTAACTGTAAGTGTAAAGGCTTGGTGACTACAGGCTTTTCCCCTGAGGCAGTTTGCACTAGGATACTGTTGAGGCTGACCTGCGGCTCTGCACCTCTCCGAGCAGGGAGCTTTGGGAACAGCTAATCAGTGCAGTTTAGCATCATCACCTTTTACGTCCTCCTCTTGAGTAGCTCTAGTGGGAACTGGACTCTAATGAACATTCCTTGTGTTGGCAATGTTTGCTTTTTTTTTTTTTTTTTTTTTTTTTTTAGGATCTGGATCGGCGGTTTTTTTGTTAATATTTTCTTTTTTAAAGATCAGACTCCCCTGTTTGAAGGCAAAATACTGCTCTGTACATATTGTGGTAGCTTTCACCTCTGGACTAGCTGTTGTTGAGTTTTCTGTGTCTGACATCTTGGCTTATTACACTTTCAATCGCTTTAGAAACAAAAAGATGGTAAATTATGCCTTAAATACATTCTGTCTAGTGCTAGGAGAGGCAGTGAAAGGCTTCTGTATTATTGATCCCTACAAAACTAAACGACAGGTTTGTATGTGTCTACTTTTCCTCTCCTGGCAGCTGTGTGTGACAGTATGTTTCCATGTGATTAAAAACAGGGTGTATAACTCAAGTGCTGTTGGTGCGGGCGCAGTGCAAACTATGTCAGCATTATGTCTATTTTCCCTTCTCTCTGCAGATAAACTACATTATTTCCTTCTACTGTACTTTCTTTCCAAAATGTATCAACTGCTAGCATTTCATCTCTGGGATGCTTGTTTTCTTTCTCCCTCTCAATGAAAACAACCAAAAAATAAAAGCAAAACTCTGAATGTTCTTATGAAGAAAAGGGAGTGTTTCCTTAAAAAAACACTTCACCTTTACATGAAGGATTCAAGAGGATAACTTAAAAACAGTGGAATCCTTTGGAAATGCCACCTTTTTTTTTTTTTTTCCTGCAGTCACCCTCTCCCTACCTCATATGGGAAGCTGAAATTGTAGGTGAAGAAAAACTCACTGTGGGCAATACTATATAGCTGCTGCTTTCTCACGGGCCAATCTATATAGTCTCAGCATAATGTGATTTGACTTTTATTCCATCTGTGCTAGGAGCACTATTTTACCCATCAGCTTTTTTTTAACTTTAAAAAAAAAAAAAAAAAAAAAAAAAAAGAACAACCTCAAACCACAAAACCCTAAAGCTCAGGCCTGCCCACTCTTCTCTGCACTGAAGTGTCTGTTTCTGTAACTTGGTAGGAAGCAGGTAGTGTCACAGAAGGAAGCTTCAGGTCTCCCCAGTAACTTTTAAAAGCACGTGTTCTTGTGTAGTTCTGGAAATCTAAACTGGGACATGGGAATGTTTTCTGCCACTGGGTAGGGATTCGAGGAGCTGTTGTCCTGCCCAGCCTGGTGCCATGTGGGACTGGCAGGGAAGCAGTAGCACTGTCAGTCGACCAAGCAAATCCCATCTGTCTTGTACTCTAGAATTTTCTGATTTCTGCATGATGTCTCCAAGTGTTACTTTGTTGACTGTTTTATTATTACCATTTTTAATCTTTGCAAGTGCTGTCACTAACGGGTGACTGTCCCAGTGATGTAGATCTGTGTGTGATGTGGGTACTGGAAGGTGAGCTGACAGTGGCTGTAACTGGATTGTTGTGACTTGAGGGGGAGACACTGCTCAGCAAGCAGTTGCCTGCTGCAGCCCAGGTGTCAGCAGTGAAATAAATGCTTCTGAAAAACCCCGTTGGCAGCGTGACCAATGTCTCTGTCGTTCTAGAGGATGCTTTCTTTGCTTCTAGAGGCGCAGGAGGGTAAAGACCCCACAGTTAACTGTGTGCAGAGCAACACGTGCAGCCTGAGCGGTCAGTGCCAGTGCAGGCCCAGAGCTGTTGCCTGCAGATGGCAGTGCTGGCACGGTGCAGAGACTGTAACTGAGGGCTCCCCATCTTGTTGTACTGCCCCAGCCTCCCTGAAGCCCTGCAGCTTAGCTGGGCCCAAGGGTTAGCTGGCTTGTTTCTTCTTTGTTGGCTGCACTTGCTGCTGCCATTGCTCAGGTCTGGGTGCCTCTGGGTGTCCCTGTGTCCATAAGTGCTGGAAGGGGTGGGGAATGTAGAAAGGATTGTGTGGGACTGTGCCCACCCTGACCCATTGGGAGGCTGTGCTGGTGGGTGGTAAATCCTATTCTCTGTCTCCTTACATGCTGCTGTCACATGTAAACCAGGTGCCATCTGGCATAGACCACAGCGATGCTCTGCATCATCACCTCTCCCCTAGAGAGAGCAGTGGTTTGGGTGCTGCACGGTTTTGGTTTCTATGTTTATTTGGGCATCAGCTGCTTCCCCCCACTTTGAACCAGCTCCTCACACTTGCAATCCCTCCATTTATTTATTTTTGGGGTGGGGTGGGAGGGGGAAGCACATCCTGCATCTTTTTTTGTGGTGTCAGGTGGTCTTTGACCCCAGGTGGTTTCTGGCAGCTGCTTTGCTGTGAATGAATGTCCCAGTGCCAACAAGTGTTGTGCCAGCATCGCTGAGTCAGGGATCCACACATCTGCCTGAGGACACCAGTCACGAAGTAACAGC